TGTATATATATGTGTGTATATATATATGTATATATATGTGTGTATATATATATGTATATATATGTGTGTATATATATGTATATATATATGTATATATATGTATATGTATATATATATGTATATATATATATATATATAGTTAATAATATAAAAACTATCTCGCCTCTACTTTGCGGATTTTCCCTTTTCGTGGTGGGTCTTGGAACGCAACTACCGCGTTAGTAGAGGGAACACTGTGTATCTTTTGACTTGCACACGTTTAAAACGACTTAGCCAGGGCTCCGTGATGCTCAGAGTCAGGCCGTGTCCTCCAATCTTCGGGTTTACATCATGACATATGAACATCTGGTGTCAGTTAGCAAAACTGGAGAAGTCTATTGGATGAGAAGTCAATGGTCCAGTTTGCCTCACCATTCAATTTCATCAATGTTACATCCAATGTTGTGTCTAATGACACCAGTAAAATAAGTAATAAAATGCATTAGGGATGACGTTTCCTGAATGGCTTACCTTTACGTGCAGATAAACAGCGCTCATATTGTGCTAATTTGTTATCATCACATGGAACAGGATGTATGGTTAGACACAGTCAGACATCTTGATAAAGCAGATGTTTATGGTTAGACCTACATAGGCATAAGATCAGAATGATAAATACCTGATTTTACATGTTGGCTCAGAAGGTATTGATGTCTCGCATTTTGTGTCGCTCGAATGAATAGAAATAGACGTTAGGTTAAAAAAAAAAAAAAAATTAGAAGAGTCGAAGCAAAATATTTATAAAAATTTTATATAAGCAGTCTTCCAAAAAAAATTTAATTTAATACAAAAATAAGAAATGTGGTAAAAGAAAAAAAAGGAAAATATATTACACAAGATTAACATCCTTAACATCTCAGAATAAAAAAAAAAAAAAATCAAACTTTAAATATAAACTGTTCCAAAACTGCTACATTCGATGTCCACGTTGTAGCGGTTAGCATGCCTGCCTCGCAGACGTCATCGACGAGACAGCGTGTAGCTTTCTGTTTGAAAGAAAAATGCTGGCGTTCTGCTATTTTCTCGTCCACCATTACTGTTAAAAAAGTGCGACGTACAGTATACTACTTACTATACGTCGCACTTTTTTTTCCATCCCTTGGCAAGGTTTTTGACTTATACTCAGCTGCGACTTATATATTAAGATATATAATTTCCGATGTTTTTTTATTTTCACACTGGCAGCCACTAGAGGGCACTCTAGGCTTGTGCAGCGGTATCTGCTACTCCTGTAAGTCACGCCCTTTTTTTTTATACTTTGGCTGGTGCGACTTATACTCCAGAGTCCGGAAAATACAGAGCAAACGGGAGTAAAATATGGCGGTTGCCTCCTACTTCCTGACCTTTTAGGAGACAGATTCCAACTCACCAATCCAACTCACCAAAGTTGATAAGTAAAAACATTACAATTCACAGTAGCAAATGTAAATCACTGCTGCGTTCCGCACGACACCTCATCGACGTTGCTGGTGTTTTCATGAATAGCGTTGCATATCATCCACTGTTTGACATAGTTAGAGTTTGAGTTCTTGTACTCGTAGAAAAACTCTGCCTCCGTCTGCTTTTCCGATCCCGTGTTTGATGTGCCGGGACTACTGCACTCAACAAAACCGCTGTCGACTGTGTCCAGATCGCCATGAGGACTGAGGATCCCGTCGGACTGCTCGTCTGAGGCCAGAGAGCCCAGCGAAATCCTTTTTGACCTGTCGAACTGGACCTTTGACTCAAGCTTAATGTGATGTTCATCTGCTAACACGTTGGAAGTCTCGTTCTCGCGTTCTGGAAACGTCTCACTGTTTTCCTCAAGGAGTGGTGACTCTAGGTGATAGCCAATGTGGCTCAGGTTGTCCTCTTGGAACGAGCCAAAGCTTCTCCCGTCTTGATAGCTCGCCAGCGAGCTCAGAGACATTCGGGACTCCTCAAATTCTTTTCCAGAGAGGGTGACGGTGTGGATGGATATGGGTCTCATCGAGTTGCCGGTGCCCAGCGAATCACCGTCGAACGGGAGGCTGCAGTCAGGCTGACGTACGTGGAGGAAATGTTGGCCTTCATTTACTTCGCTGTATTCGTGGCAAATCGGCTTCTTGCTGTTCCAGCGGAAAAAGTCATCGGTGTTTGCGAACGCATTAGAGTCTGTCCTGAAGTAGTCGAATTCAGTGAAGTCCGACTTCACCCATTCCTACGAGAAAGATGGGAAGAAAGCACAGGACTAAATACACATTTAAAATTTTTTTTTTTTTTTTTAAAAATGCAAGGACAGTTACAAACCGCTGCTGCCGCGTGGTGGGTGGAGGCTTGTGATCAGTTAAGTCCTTATGTCCATATTCCATTGGAAACCCCCCCCTCCCCCTACTATTTGAGACCTAAGGTGTCACTCAGATCCTGCAGGACCGTATGTTGAGATATGTCGCCTTACAAGCGGCTGTAAAACAGACTAAATTTCATCCAGGGGCCATTTCCTGTTTCCAAAGTGCCCAGGAATACCAGTGACATTGAGAAGAAAGAAAGAAAGAAAAAAAAACGTTTTCGGTTTTTACGCCTTCGGAAAAAAATCTAGATCTGTCCTCACCAACCTTAAGGTCTGACGTTAGGGAGTTGGGGGGGCTGGGGGGG